TTCAAGTACGCTTCAGGTGCATCTTAACTCCGATCCACATGCTAAATTTTACATCACATTCTCTAGACTAGCTCTAGAGGTAGGTATAACACTAGTTTGAGTTTTTCAAAATAGGAGAAGACATAAATATTTATAACTATACATACATAAAATATCAATGATTAATATGTTGTTAAATTTTTCATATGTATGAGCTAATTCTACTATATACTAATTACAAACGAAAAGATTAATGCGTACCTGTACTTTCCAATGCATTGGTCTTATCATTAGTTCAAATCAAATTAACATGAATAACTTTTCACAATAACACAAATAAACATTAGAAAGACAATGAGATGCTAATTGGCTCATAAAATCTTACATATGATCTAGATAAATTCTACTTGAGCATACTAAACGAATTCCAAACAACGTCAGAAATTTCTACTTCGGGAGTAATTGAAAATACTCTTCAAGACTTCAACGTTACAAAAATTGTCATTGTGGTAAAATATTCTTAATGGTTCCAAAGATACTTTGATATCATTTGAATACCCATGGTTAAGTTCAAGGTTTTATATTAGGCATACCTGAAAATCTCATTTATTTTTTTATTTTACTAGATAGGTTAATTTACCAAATAACTCAATTTCTCTTCCCTTGAAACCATGCTTCCTAAAACTCACTAGTCACTAATGTACCAAGTTATAAACCAATTTGGCACAAAAGCGGGAACAAATTTGCTACTAAAGCCGGGGTAGGAAAGAAACGTGCCTCTAATTTTTCAACGCACCAAAATTAATGCTTATTTTTAATGCAAAGTAGCATGAAGTAATTTTCACAATAATACAAATTAGCATTAGAACGTAAATGAAATTGATTGATAAATATTTTCATCATACATAAGGATGGCTTGAATGGCTACCAATTAAGAGCACATTAAACAAGAAATTTTAAAATAATTTTAGAAAAAATGCTACTGCAGGAGCGGAGCGGAAATTAATTGATATCTATTCAAATCATGAGGCATAATTAAACACATGTGGTAGTTAGTTCAAAAAACATATCATTAGCATAAATGTTTCAAAACAACAAACATTATTTCATATAACTTTATATTATTTAAATTTCACTGGCAATTCACATGTATTTAATAAACACTCATATGAATATAATATAACAGTACTAATAATGCTACATCATGGGAAATCCAAGAGTGTAATTCTAGAAAAAGAAAATGATACTATATAAACAATTTGCATGACTTGTACGTCCTTATTAGGGAATTAGACTAGATTTATATCTCAAATTTGTTTACTCCGAATGTATTAGCAAGTAGTACAAGTGTGTTTAAAATGTCATAAATGATAGTAATGATGAATGTTTATGCCAATTAAATTCAATATGTCATTAATTGAGCGAGTAAATATCCTTTTCTAACCAATATTGACTAATAAATATGTTGGAATTATACGTTTCAATTAATTGGTAAATATCATTAAATCAAATGATTCAATTTTATTTTTGGTTTTGTTTTTACTTGAGCCTTTGGCCACTTCTTCCCTACCCATTCACGTTAACCGTAGATCGAGTTCCTTAGGGCATCTTCTTAACCTCCAGGGGCACATTAGAATAACCCGAAATAGGTGTGGCGATTTCATGAGATTTCATAGGACGGTCCCGTAGAGAACAATCTGGTGGTTGTGAGCTTTGCCGGTTTTGATCCTTTTTTTTTCATCCGGTTGTGCGGCTGAAATGATAATATTTCCGTGTAGTGTTGATTTCCGTCACCGTGTACATAGCGACGGCCGGCGAACGAAAAACAAAGGTAGCCGAGATGGCAGAAAACAAGTTAGGATTTTTGGAGCAAGTCGTGCTGATAACGTGTAATAAACCAGATCAAAAGCATACTTTCATTCATATATGGGGATGTATATATAGGAGGGGAGCTAGGGTTACAATCATCAGATGGGCCTGTACATATGGGCTCAGGCTATGAACTAATGGACATCCATAATACATAACATGGATGTATTAATGTCAACGTTCTGGTCATTTATGTCTATCGTTCAGCTCCATTTAAGGTCACTTAACACCATCATCACCAACATAATTTCTAACGGAGACATTTTCTAGCTCCATAACTCCATTAAAGGTCAATTAAGAGGCATGTTTACTAACAAAGATATTTTCTAGTATTTCAAAAAAAAAAAGATATGTATCTGTTTTCCTTAATGAATTGGAGAAATGACTTTTACTAGTTTTTCAAATTTGGAAAATGTGGATGCTGCAGTGCCACTGTAATGAATTTGCATACTTACACCTAGTGTTGGATCCGATCCCACTTCAGTGTCAGTTCAAGTCCGGTCCGATCAACGACACAACGGTTCATATCTGGTCCGATCAACGATCCGGCGGTCCGATCTTATAATTGACCCAATGGTCCATGTCCGGTCCGATCAACGACCGAGCAATCCCGGCACAGTCCGATTGACGACCCAGAGGTCCCTATCCGGTCCGGTTCATGACCCGGCGGTCCCTATCCAATCCATGACTCGACGACCCATGTCCGGTCTGATCGATGACCGCACGGTCCCTATCTAATCCGGTCCACGACCAGGCGGTACTTGTTCGGTCCGACTGACAGCCGTGCAGTCCCGATCCGATATGGCCTAGTTAATGACTCAATGGTCCCCGTCCGGTCAACAACCCAACGATCCCCGTCCTGTCTATTCAATGACTCGGCGGTCTCCATCTTGTCTGGAAAATGACCTGACGGTCTCTTTCGGTCCGATCGACAACCAAGTAGTCCCGACCCAGTTCCGTAAACAACCCGACGGTCCCTATCCGACCCGATCAATGACCCGACGATCCAGTCTCAATTTTTCGAAATCATTTTTTAAAGTGAAGAGTTTTAAAAGATCCGTTGAGTTGCCAATCAATAGCCAATAGGGGAATGGAAATGGATTCATTACCAAACTATTGAGATCGACCGGGACCGGCCGGTTTCGATCCAGTACCCTATTTGGGTTGTACTAGGTTCGATTCCAAAGTAGGGCTGGACTTTTGGTATTTTAGTTAGTCACGGAACCGATTAAAAAATTGTACAAACACGTTTTCAAATTTGAAAAATGGAAAACTAAAAAATGAAACCAAAAATTAGAGATCGAAAAATTGGAGAACGGAAAATAGAAATCGAAAATTGAAAACAGGCCCTAATAGTCCGATTTTTTTCATTTATAAGCATGCATTATTAATTTTAATCAATTGATCATGTGAAAGTTTTAATTTTACCGAGTGTAACATCATACAGAGAGAGAAAGAATTAATAGTAATTGCTGGATGAAGTTTAAATGTGGAATATGAATTCTAAATACAACCCTCAAAAAAATCAATGCTAAAAAATTTAAATTTGATACCCAATGTTATCATGTTAATGAATAAGTAGAGAAATACATTATTTTCGAACCAAAAATGAAATCAGTCTGCCAAATTCACATTGAGAGAAGGACAAATTATATACTTTATTATTTTAAGATGCCGTTTGGTAACAATGTTTTTCGAATTATCAGGCTTATCGGCCATCTTTTTCATCAAACACGTAGCTTTTGTTTTCGCGCGCTGAATTGTGTAATAATAAGAAAAAGTAAGGTTGGAGTTACTTTTCTAACTGTATTGGCTGAAATTACTGTAGATGACCATTTTAGCCATTTTTACATATAATTTTTTCATTATTTTATTAATAAAATATAATTTAAAAATAATTTTTTCTTAAATCAGCAAAATTGGCCAATGCAACCACTTCAGCCAAAACTTCATAAATTTCAGCAGAATCAGCCGAATCAACCGATTTTCATATTACCTGATGGGCTCTAACGTATTTTGATAATTGTAGATGGGCTCTAAAGTATTTTGATAATTGTAGATCTTATTCCACTTCAATTCCACAATTTGCTGAACACAATGTTGTGTATGCCAAAATAGGTCCAAATTGGCCTGCCTGCTTTTAAAACTTCATTCTTGAAAAATAGACAAAACGTGTATCCAACCCGAAAAGGTAGAATCATTCATCTCAGTCTTCTAAGATGCCTTCTACCCCAACAGTCCAACACAATATAATGGTAAAAGTGTAAATCAAAGTATAATAAACAGTTTGAAACTGTCATCAATCAACCACCATTAAATGAAATTCTTACACTCCCGCTACAAGGGATTGAACCTAAAACCTCAACCAAACTGCCATCACTCAACCACCATTGAGCTACAATTTCTTCTCCTTTTGCTTTTTCCTGCTTTTATATTTAGGGGTGGACTCAGGCCGGTTCGGATCTGGGCCCGGTTCGGGCCGGGCCTCGGTTCAGGAAAGGGGGGGGGGGCGGAACCGGCCCGGGTAACCCCCAGGTCCGGGTCGCGTCGGGCCTCAGTTCAATTTTTTTTTGCCTTTTCCTAATTAACCCCTACCCCACCCCCAAACGATCCCAAACCATCTCAAATGACCCAAAATACCCAGCCCAACCCAAAAACTAAAAAAAAAAAAAAAAAAAAAAAAAAAAAGAAATAAAATGGCCCAGACCGGGCCCGAACCGGCCAGGCCGGTTCACGTTTTGAGGGACCCAAGCCCGGACCGGAAACCCAGCAGGTCGGGCCTACCCGAACCGGTCACTGACCTGGCCACCGGGCCGGAACAGTGCCGGTTCAGGCCGGTTCGGGCCGGTTACGGGTCGGGCCACCCGGTCCGAGTCCAGGCCTATTTATATTGGGGACTATTAAATGGGGGGCGTTTTCCCTTCTTTTTCAGTCATGTTTTTGTCACTGGTTGGGTAATGACATCCACTGGGCATAATGGCATACGGTGCAAACACGCCTCAAAAGCCCAACTTTACAACATTTATCCAAACTTTAGTCCCAAAAAAGCTTGGGATCGACTAACAATCTAACATAGAATCAACATCCATAGGTAAAATCACTCTACAATCCCACAAAAATAAAACATTCCTCTGTAAGAGTGCAAGACATAAAATTGTCGCTTAGAAAGTTTAATGAAATAATAACAATAGCATCAATGGAACATGTTTCATATTTTGAACAAAGAAATGCGGTGAATAAAAAGTTAATATTAATATTGAAAAATTACACACAACATTACACCTTCGAAGTTAATTCCAACTTTTGTCCTTGAGAAAGCTAAGGAGGCCATATATATGTAAATAAATAAGACCTAAAATCTATTCCTATAAAATACAGAACACTGTTATAGTCAAAACATAACAATGTATTTCACCTTTGAACTTGGTCGGGTACATGGTTGCTAGCAGCTGATGACGAGGTTGCCCCCCTACCATATATCATTCCATTACTGTTATTATTATTAGTATTAATATTATTACTGTTATTGTTATTATTACTACTATTATTATCAACAGGAGGAGATACTCCCCACTTTCCTTCAGATTCTAATGGTTCTATGACTTTTACAGACCCATCAGTCAACCCGACTGCAAATTGATGAGGTTCCTGCGGGTGTGCTGCAACTACAAGCGGACACGCTGCTTGGCTTCTGCAATTAAACACACACAAGGTTAGGCCATCATTTCAGTTCAATACAGAAAGTCCAGTTTCTTCACTTTTACTAAACTGGAACATAAAATTTCAGTTGTGTTCTTTACCCATTCAACACAGCCGGAGATAGATAAGCCGAGGGAGCTATACGGCATCTCAGTTTTAGGGTATCGGCATCAAGCACTCCAATATTCCCATCACTGAAGGATGTGAAAACCAGTTGGCTATTGCAAGAGTAGGTAGCATATGTGATGGGTGCGGTTAAGGATTCCTGGGGGACCCACTGAAACAAAGAGTTCATCAAATTTCAAAACCTTGTGGTGTTAGTTAGCACGATGGTTGGTAAAAGCATGTGTTATTGTTACCTGTCGTATGCGTTCCATCTTGGAGGCATCATATATTGCCAATTGGGTTTCATGTGCTACCAGCAAACGGACTTGGTCAGCATGGAACTGCACCCGAGTGTCACCCATGGGTGCTTTGCCAGCTGGCAATTGGATGGGAACTGATTTTCTTTTTTCCCAAGTATCAATACTCCATACACACAGCTGTAGTAAGATTTTGTATTCAACTGAGCAAACTACCCATAACAAGATTTTAAAAATAACAAAGGAATAAAGACAACTTTCAGGTCAAAGAAATTTTTTTCAGCAGAGTGTAGAGTATGAAATAAACCTATCCAAATACATCAGTGTTTCATGATATTATTCATCTAAATAATCCTTCATAAGAAGGTTGAAGCAGAAATGGCATCCAATGAAAAACTTCATCACTGTGTTTTTAATTTTTGGATTCATTTAGTGTGACATGATTCGTCGAAGTGGGATGTGGGATGGGACCGAAATTCACCTGGGCATCAGCACCAGACGAAACGAGGATGTTAAGGTTTGTAGAAAATGCAAGACCAGTGATGCGCTTCTGGTGTCCTTTCAGTTTGGATTTCACCTAGTATACTTATAATCAGTTAATTCAGCACATGTTGAATGAGCATATACTAGAGAAAATGTAACATACATTGAGAAAGAATTATTAGTTATTACCTCATCAACCCGAACATTGTATATGTGTATGGTAGAATCCTCCATCCCAATTGCAATGATGTTATTGTCTTGGGGATGGAACGCTAAGAAAGTTGAAGCTGGAGGAGGTGGCATGAATGTTGTCATTACCTACACACATGACCACATATTAACATGAGTATTTTATTCTAAAGCCAACAGTGTAACTGTAATACGTCTTGGAACATGCATACCTTAAAAGTCATCATGTTAAACAATGAAACCTTCCCACCAGCAGCTGACATAACATAAGAGTCATTCTTTGAGAGGGCTATACAAGGAACTGCCTCCTCAAGGTTGACACCTGATACATCATTAGTCATAAGAAGACCACTGTTCGGTTGCCAATGTTGTGGAACGACATTGGCGGTGGCCTTCAGACCCCCAGTGACTTTTAGACCCATTTGCTTTTTTTACATTAACCAAATATGAACACACGAAACATTAATGATGGAGCAGGAAAAAACAATAAATCTGATTTTTTTACCTTGCCGCTAGGATTTTGTTCATTGCGAGACCACTTCCATAGTTTTTGAATACCATTTGATCCGAGTGCCAAGATGCCAAAACCAGAATTTGTGTAAAGAAGCCGGGCAACCTTTACAAACAAAACAGTTTTAGAATAAATGATATAAGTTAAATTCATTGGGGGAAACCTCATAAACTAATTAATGAATAAAGCACCGATAGTAGGTCATGAATCACATGCCGTGAGAAGTTTCGAGCAGAAAATTAATTCACAAACCTTTGCATCAGAGCTCTCAGGCAATAAAATTGATCGGCATTGAGCCCGATCCACAACTTCAGTCAACTGCCAGGGCTTGGTGGTTCTGTCAACAACATCATCTAATGGTCTGGGCTTTTCCATGTTTCTGGACATTGAATCCACTCCATTCTGTGAAAAAAAAAACATATGATTAGGTGTAGAGATAAATGTGCTGATGTGCATACCCAATTAACATCTCATCATTTATGCACATTGCACCGGCATCCTCTAAGAATCAATTTTAAAAGTTGCATCTTTTATAAAGTGAATACAAGTAAACACGATGTAAAACATGCACCAAAACCAGAGCCAAGCCAGAAATTTGAAGGACTTCGTAGTTTAAATCCTTGAAGGTGCCTTAATTTTGCTTTGGGCTTAAGACCTTATTCTCCAACTTTAGCGAATGGGATAAATATTTTCCAACTTTACTATATTTTCTGTGAAACAAAAGAAGTGCAAACAAGTTTTTTTTCACACAAAAACTGTTAGTGGCACTTTTTAGTCATTGATTTAAGCCTTACAGGGGGGAAAACCATTACGTACATGGATGGGAGAAGGTCTGACAGGAGAGCTTCTTTCTACTTTACAATTCACAGGAGTAAGAGCAGTAACAGAAGATCCAGAAACCTGCAGAATGAAAGACAAAATGTTTACAGCTCCAGCACAGAAAGAATCCCAAAAAAGGTTGGATAGGCACCATAGATGTGTTTGACACCTTCATAGAAGTGGCTTCAATGGGCGATCTCAGTGCCTCAAATGGCGGGGCTTCAGTTGTCCGTAAAGACCTCATACCAACAGAATTTGCAAGTATCTTAATTCCATTGTCCGTAGTAGTAACAGCAAGAAGATTCCCTTCCTTGTTGAATCTCAACCGAGGTAGACTCTGAAACAATAAACATTTTACATTAGACATTTTTATATACGGGTTAGTTTATATGTTTCTTTCCTGTAATTGGAATTTTTTTCTGTTCATTAAAAAAAATTGTAATAGTTTATAAAAAACATATTATTGTTTCCTGTGAAATATGGTACTGACCGGTAGACCGCCCTCAGCATCTGTAAATGTAACAACATTGATGTTGTCCATGTCCCAAAATTTTATTTGGTTATCCTCACCCACAGCTAAAAAGTGGTTTTGAGTTGTGTCAAACTGCACAACCCCACCAATAGACTTTTTCCTAAAACCATTGTAGGTTCTCTTAATTGCTCCTTCACTTTCATTCCATTCCACTAGAAAAGAATCTCCTTCTTTACTAGTTCCGCAAGAAAACAGTCTACAAAATAGAGAGGTCACCATCAGTATATCATGAGAAAAAAGTTATGTTGGTAAGCAAGAAATATCAAAAGATATCATAAACACATTGAGAAAATAGAATTTCATGATAGGAGGATTTCCACTGGGAATCAAAACCTTACCTGCTTCCATCAGCACTGTAAAGCATAGTGCACCAATGACCAGGAGCCTCATAGTCAACTCTTGACCCCATATTGTCATACAACCATGCTTTTATCTTCCCATCAATAGCAGTAGAAAATATGAACTAAAAACGAAAATAAATAGCATCAATGAAGTGGAAGTGTCTTTTGTTTGTTATCACAACAAAAGTTACAAATATGTAAAGTTCTCACGAACTGCAAACATCATGGGGTCCACGTTAAGAAAGAACCTAAGCTTGTAAAGATGGCATTAAAAAGTAAATCCTAACAGACATAGATGGTTAATGAATCAGGGAGGATTGCTATAACGAATCACATTGAAACAATAGCCAGAAGACTGGTTTTAGTGTAAAATAATATATGTAGTGTATGTAAATAAATCATGGTGGCAATAAGAAAAAAGCAATTACACAGCACTTAAAGAAAAAAATCTCACAAGAATGTAAACTAGAGAAAATTAATACAATAACTAGCCTCTTATGAAATATCAAATGAATAGTTCAAAATTAGGAAAACTAAATGAAGTAATTGATAACCCAGAAGTCTAAAATGCAACCTTAAAGAAAAACTCTATTTTACAGCCTAAAAGGAGCTGTTATATAACATGATATGGTGCCATAACTCAAAAGGTCCACTCTGTACCGCTATGCGAGGTACCGAGAGGAGTAGGAGCAACTTCTCAAGCACAAACTACGGCCAATTATGTCATGGCATTTTAGAATTCCCCTAAGGAAACATTAAATTGTGTTTTTGAGCAACATATGCCAATGGTACAGCTTCGTTTGTTATACCTGAATATTTTCTTTCTGGTGGGGGCATATTGAGTATACAGGAGCTTCGTGCCCCTCAAAGTTAAACAGTCTTCTCCCTGTTAAATCCCATACCTGAAAAAATCTTATTAGCTTTCGTTGAAGAGTGGAAGAAACTCTAACATTCAAACTTTAAACATGATAAGGCTCACCCTGATCAACTTATCATCCCCACATGTTACCACACATAACTGTTTGTTTGGATATGCAAAAGCTAGATCGTTAACCCCTCCAACATGTGCATCAATCTGCATGCATGAGATATAGAATCACATTGCCATAAAAAGACAACTTAACACAACATTTGAAACATCTTGTGTCAAATGAAAAGCATGTCTGTATGTGCGTGCACATTTACATATACTTGCAAAAAGACATACCTCCAGATGTTGTCTTAAATCATGTGGTCCAGTATAGGTGTGAGAATACAAATGGATCAAATGCTTAGTAAATGCAACACCTGCAGCACAAAGAACGGTTCATGCAGTTGTGAATACTTTCCTCACAAGACTAAACAAAATAAGCTATCAAAAATGAGGAAGAGAACTTATACCAACAAATGTTCCATCCGGACTCCATGCAACACGGTTTACAGAAAAAGGTGCATCCTTAACACAAGAAGCCTGTTGAAACTCTCAAATGTGAGGATGAATGAAAGAGGACAAGGACACAGCTAGGGTTTCTTGTGGACAACAAACTACCAATAAAATAAAAGTTACATAAAAGTATATCACATGCCATAAAAGAACTGAAGCTATTCAATAACTGACGTCACTCACCTGAAATGGCACTGTGCAGGATTGAACATCCCAGATTTTGAATGGCTTTGACAACAATTTTTCACGCACTCCAGCTTCCCAGAGTGTTATTTCACCATTATTGGAGCCAACTGTGCATAATGAAATTGAAACGACTCAATAACTACACAGCAAGTTGTTTCAATTTATTAATGCACAGGCATAAACGTTAAATTTTTAAGACAATCGTACCAAGAAGCAGTGTATTATGAGATGGATGAAAATCCATGCTCGTAACAGTGGATCCTTGATGCAAAGTGAATGCTACAGTTCTTGGCAAATCCTCAAGAGACCATGATGCTTGTTGGCGAACGGTGGGATATGTAACCTGTTGTGAAGAAGATAAAAAGCATTCCTGAATCCTGACAGACATCGTTCATTCAAGGAAATTCCCATTCACAATGACACAATACAGAAGCAAATGCACATTCAAGAAACAAGGTTTTCAGATCAAATCAAACAGAAGCATTCTGGCAAGGCCTTAAAATAATCAGATTAGGTCACTTTTCAGGCAAAGAGATCAGGTCCTAACTCTTGTTCACCCATACTTCCAACATACCTCCTCAACAGCCTGTATAGGTCTCAAACGCTTCATCAATTGTTCAGGATCTGAATTCTGATAATCAACCATACCAAGGGTAGCAGGAGGTGTGATTGGACGCTTCAAGATTGACACTGAAACATAGCGTGAATAACGTCCATCACTTTTTTTCTTGTTGCATAGCATAAAAATGAAGTTGTTCAAAGTCAGAAATGCATGTTTTTACAAAAACGCAACCAGTAATATTTCACACACCTTGATTTGGAACAGGCAAGGATGATGCAGTCACCACTGCCGCCTGAACAGATGAAGAAGCAGCAGCATTTGCCATCCAACCTGCTAATGCATTAGCATTAGCAGCAGCAGCAGCAGCACTGGGTGGAAATGGCTGCCAGCAACAAGACAGAACAAATTTGGATTAGCATAAAGAAGATAATAAGATAAGAAAGGCAGGTTCTTTAACCAACATGTATACCCCGTGAGCCCCAAGTGATGTATAGGGAGTCGGCTTTGCAACTGCATTAGCAGGTATATTCACAACACTGGGAGGAAGAGCCCCATTTGGAGGATTGCACATATGATCTGTGAACAAGGTCTTAATATCTGGATTTGACCTTGGATTTTTACACAGCTGATGTTGCCAATTCAAACTGTAGAAAAAACATACTAAATTACTACATATCAAACTAATCATTGAGCAAAGGAAGTAAGAACAACTAACAATGGACAACTGAAGTAACAAAAACTATCAGTGGACAGATATATCGCTACAGAATCAGCACCTAAAGGCCATAGATGTACATATACCAGTATGGGTACGAGGATACAGGTATGGGGTAGGGTTTTTAGTATTTGAATATATTTAGTTTATGAAATTACTGGAGTACAGGTTTGTCACTATACAGTCAATTGTAAAAGTTGAGCAGATTTTATAAAATAAAAACTAAAGTTGACACAATAAATCAGAAACATGCTAATTTCAACATAAAAAGCATAGAGGTGATAGCATTTCAAGAAAGAAAGAACTTAACAAAACTGCCTAAAGTTAGTGAAAAACATAACAAAATTTGCCTAAAACCGGTGAAATTTCTCTTGACGATGACGCTATAAAGGATGAGTAAGAATAATTCCAAATCAAGTAAAATTGCGAACATATGTATCAGAATTCCAATTTGGAAGTAAAAACTACAACCATATAACACACCACATGAGGATGACGAACAAATTGCATTGCACTTACCTCTATACCAAAGACTTTTAAAGCAACCGAAGAAAAAGAAGCCTCAAAGCCCCATAGAAGAGTGGTGAGGGTTTACCAAGTATGAAAAGCACAACAAAAACCACCTACATTTATGACATTGCGGTCGATGACATGAGATGAAGCCTGTGTGGATAAAGACTAAAGAGTACCGCCGTGGTCGGTGGAGCAGTTGAGTGGTGGTGACGGCTGGTGGATCATGGGTGAGGGTGGGTCATGAGAAGTGGATATTGGGATGTGTGCAGAAGGAAGAAATGTAGCACTTTGACCAAAAGAAGGATAAGCCAAGTGTTAGGGTCATGGTATAAGTAAGAAAAGTGACGAACAAACAATTAATTTTGACAAATTTCCTTGGTGAGATGTACTGCACTAAACCCAATACTTCAAAAAACAAATCAAGGGTAACTGTCTTGATACGCCTAGCCCAAACACACCAAGTACACGTACCTTGTGGCCAAAATGTTTTACACAGGCTTCATAGCCGATCAGAGTAACAAAGATCACTATCAATGGACAAAGTAAAACCACTTATAGCAGACAACAAAGTTACATAGGCCACAGAAAATTAAAGTAAAAACACTGTCCATGAAAACACAATGTAACATACACGGTAGAATGGATAGACAGAGTAACAAAGACTGTCAGTAACAAAAAGCTATGATTGCTCCAAGATGAGAAAAATCAAATATGCATAATTACCAAAACACTCACACAGACACATGTGTTGATACGCTTAGCGAGATGTGCACTTCTAAGTAGAAACAAAGAAATTCAGAAGTTTTTATAAGAACTATGTTGTTTTATTTATTTAATGATACTGAGAAAATAAAGAGCTAAATAAATGTAGAGAGGATGGAGGAAAAGAATGCAAACCTCTGATTTATCAAGGTTCGCAATCTTGATGCCTTAAGGGTTGGGAATGCAAGCTTTTCCCGAAAGAGAGGATTTGCTTCAATTAACTTTTTCAACTCGATCAACATTATGCTGCGAGCAGTCTTGGTGTCACCATACTTGGAAAGCTGCTCATTCTCTCTGAGTTTTTTTAAAAGGAAACAAGTTTTAATAATCATTTACTTCAAGAAAAAGCTGCCTAATCAGAGGTTAATAATAAGCATATATGTTGCCTTCATGAGATTGTTTCCAAAATATTAAGCACAAAATTAAATCAAGCACTTTCTTAGACATCAAGATAAATAATTTAAGAAAAAAGCCCGAAGTTCACTCACTACGACACAAACAGAGCAGTCTCTGAACCTTATTCACAGAGAGTGAACAAGCTCAGGAAAAAAAAGAACTGAAGTGCCAAGATATTCCTATAGGCATACACTTCCACAGGGGAAAATTACTTGCAAGGCCCGTATACAAAAGTTTTCTTTAATTTGAATATCAAGCATAGTACCTGAAATTGCTTAATGTCAACAACTGAGTGATTTCTTTATAAAGGTCTTCATTGAATGTTGAAAACACTTTCAAATCGCTAACAAGAATTTCTACAGCCTTCGACTTGTCTTGCCTGAGGAAAAGTTCAAATAAACAGAGCAGGGCAAAAAAACAAATCACGTCAAAAAAAGGAAAAAGGAAAAATAGAACACTGAGCAAACCCAATAAAAGCTACATACCGATCAAGTGCTTCAAGGTACTTCTGCTTTCTAATTTCAAAAAAGATTTTCATGGAGTATCTATTGTCATCTACTTTTGTAAATCCAGATAGGTACTTCTCAACTTCATCCCATTCACCAGCATGCACTTTCTCCTCGAAGTATTTCATATTAAAGAAAAACCCAGATTCTTGCTCAAGCCTACAAGAAAACACATTTATTTACCTGTTGTTAGCTAAGCTGACATAAATAGAAGCACTTGTAACGCACACCCACAGTATCACCATTCAGTGTCTAACAGCTCAGGCAAATTTTTTAAATACATTTTGGCCACAATTTATTAACTTAAATAGAATATTAGATGCTCCGTATCAGACAAGATTTAACGCTCGAATTTGTCACTGGATTACATGAATTATAAAATGTCCACTTATTACAGGCAAAAAAGGACATTTCCCATTTCCCCCCTAATTACCCCACTGGTCGTCATATCAATCAATACACTTAACTCAACATTTAGCTCTCTAAAGTATGTTTCGCACTTCTAGACTGGTCTTCATGTTAATTAGCTAGCTCATAATTTACCCATAATTTTTTTTCTCTTTCTCTCTCAAACTGTTTTTTTTTTGGGGGGGGGGGGGGGGGGGCTAAAAGTAAAAATATACTCCGTATGAGATTGACAATATCCGGAAAACAGTATCAAAAGATGCGGAAAATACAGGAAATGACCAACGGATCAAACAGAATATAGGGCAAACCTGTGAACAGAGTCCTTAAACTTCTCCTCCTCGAGGAATTGAAGTATGAGAAAGACTAATTCCCTGCTAAGAGACGACATTCCAACAACCGCAGTCTCCGAATCAGGCTAACTCCACCGCAAAAAGGACGGCCGAATCCCGGAAAACGGAGCTACGAATCCACAGATCGAAGCGCCGGAAGCCAGGATTTCTAGGGTTTCTCCCCGAAAAAACAAAAAAAGAAAGCGAAAAAGCCCAGAGGGAAATGATGAAGCAGAGAGAAAGACAGAGAGAGAAGGACGAGGAGAAGAAGAGAAGTATATATGTGGAAAGATGGTGTGGTGGGGAAGGACTTGGTCTCGCCATCATCGATGCGTTTGCCAGTAGTCTATCTCTGATAAGCGGAATCGCTTATCGTTTCGTTGAACAGAGATCTCTGATAAGTGGAAGCGCTTATAAACGTACATATCGTTGCGTGAAGCAGGGGAGAAAGCGGATTTGAAACCGGGAATTCAAATGCGGTTTTGGATATTGATTGTCACGTCCGGATTCTAGTCTAGCTATGTAGGCTCCACGACACTTTCTCGTGCATTTTATGAATAAAGGTTTTGTTTCCTAATTACAGAATTAATTAACCACTCCCACCGGACCCACTATTATACTTCCTACTTTCAACAAAGGTGGGAGCAGATTTAGAGCCCGTTTGGTAGCACCAAAATCGGCTGTTTGGGCTGATTCTGCTGAAATTTATGATATTCTGACTGGAGTGGCTGTTTTGGCTGATTCTGCTGATTTAAGAAAAAAATATTTTAAAAATATATTTTATTAATAAATTAAAGAAAAAAGTATATGTAAAAATAGCTAAAATGGTCCTCTACAGTAACTTCAGCCAATACAGCCAGAAAAGTAACTCCAACCTTACTTTTTCGGCTTATTACACAATTCAGCGCGCGAAAGTAAAAGTTACGTGTTTGGTGAAAAAGCTGGCTGATAAGCCTGATAAGCCGAAAACAGAGTTCTCCAAACGGGCTCTTAACTTTTTTTGGTCAAAATATTTAATTTGATTAATGTTACCGTCGATGCACTCTAGATTGCCAAAAAAAATTAAAAATCATAGTACCTCCGCCCCTATTATTGTTCCATTATGATTTACCAAAAAATTGCATATTCAAAAACTAAATTAAAAATTTTACAAAGTCGCAAAAACCAGAATCGAAATTAATAAAAAAAGGGGTTAGGTCATGGATAATACTAATTAAATGTGTTTGGACAAATATAGATTCTCTTTTAATAATTGCCTAGAAAGAGACCATCTGTATGATCAATTGATAACTTTGGGATGGAATTATCAAATTTGCCCCTACCTAATTAATCAACACTCCGTATGCAGTAAACCGGAGTAATTCTTATGTCCACTTATCATTCTTGCCCACTTGCCTGTCGTTCCCACTGCAAATGCCATGGGCAGGCCACAATTAAATTATGCTTTCCCAATTAAATTTAGTTGGTGATAGATTTTTAATTATTTGATTCAAACAGTTACAGTTACTCGTCTGATTAACCCGCAACCAGCTACAATTACTTGTTTGATCAGTTATAGTTACTCATTCAACCAATTACAGTTATCTGCCTGATCAATTATAGTTATGTGTCGCCAGTTACAATTACATGACCCCGTCAGTTACAATTACTCAATTCGTCAATTACAGTTACTCATTTATCCGACCCATATGTCTGCCCGTACAGTGACCAACGTCCGCCCGTCAGTGACCAACGTCCTTCCGTCCAGTGACCAACGTCCACCCTTTCAGTGACCAACTCCCGCCCGTGTACTGACCAACGTCTACCCATCCAATGACAACTACCCGACCCGTTACATTACAGTTACCCGATTCAATAGTTATAGTTACTCGACTAGTCACTTAGTGTTACCCGACCCGCCAATCACCAACGATAGTTACCCAATTTTGACCCGCCAATAGCCATTGATAGTTATCCAATTCAATCTACCTTCCACCACACCGTCCACCGCCGCCGGCCACCACCTCAGGCTACTTCCGGCAACCACCACACCCAACCCCTGCCCGACCCCTGCCTCACCCCAGCCCCTGCCCGACCCCCTTCCTCACCCCAGCCCCTGCCCGACCCCACTGCCTAACCTCCTGCCTCACCCCAGCCTAGCCCTCCGTCGCCACTACCACCACCCTAGCCTAGCTCTCCATCGCAATAACCGCACACCATCGCCCACCACCGGCCAACTAGCCCACCACCGCCCAACCCTAGATTGAAATCCCAGTCGTCCAGATTAGATCTGGAATGTAGGGGCCGCAATTAAGCCCTAGCCTACGTAAACAGATCTCTAGCATTTCTGGTCGCCTGTAACCTCCCTACACCGAATAGAAAGAGAAGAGAAAGAAGATTGACTGGTCGTCCACGGCTGGGAACAACGATGAGAGGAGGAAGAACTTCGCGCGACAAAGAGAGAGAGAGAGAGAGGATGGAGCGGGACTGCAGGTTTGGAGATAGAGGTGCACTGGCATAGACGCGTTGGCGGAGGCTCTCTGCTGCGATGGAGATCTGCTGTGGGCGGCGGCTTGGGCGAAGGAGCTGCGTGCGTGAGAGAAAAAGTGCAGGAGATCGGATAAGGAAGAGAGAAAGAGAAGTGAGGGTAATTTAGCCCATTGATTAATATAAGTCTCTTTTTTGTCTAAAGTTAAAACAAGTCTTATTTTTGTTAATTAGAAAGCTATTAGTATTGTTGCTGTCATTATTTCTAAAAAAAATTGATATACTCCCTCCGATTTTTAATAAACTTCACACTTTCCTTTTTGGGACGGTCTAAAATAAACTTCACACTTCCTTATTTCCTTTTTTGGCAAAGAAATATACATCAAAACAGTGTCAAACAGTGCCAAACAGTGTCTCTACAGTGCCAAACAGTGTCAAACACTCCAAACAGTGCCTCAACAGTGTACTCTACAGTAAAGTCAAATTTCTTTCCTTATTTTGTGTGAAGTCAAAGTGTGAAGATTAAATAAAACCGGAGGGAGTATAAAATAAGAGATTAAAAGTGATTTGTGTTGACCAAGTGAATAAAAACTGTGTTGAGGTTTATTCCTTCAACCTTTGGGTCCAACACATAAGCCCAAAGATTTCGAGTGGAGTGGAGCATATATGAATAAACTAGCCCAACAAGCAACTAAGATGGATCAAGATGGTAAATAGCTAGTCAAAGATTAGGTACTATTAATTAGTTAATAACTCCCTAATACAATACGCTTGTTAAGGCTCGTCGGTCGTTCGTCTTACAAGGCAGTAGAAGGGCTGCGAGTAAGAGAAATATAAGCTAGAGTGCTAGGAATAGTAAGTTGTCAACCATTTACAATGAAATAAATGCTGCTGTTTATACTATCAATTGGCAGTTGGCTATGTTGACGTGGAGGCCTATGTGTGGCTGGTGCCACAACCACCAAATCTCCAGCATTAAATGCGCTTCCCGCCAGAATCTGAGTTTCCCGCATAAGTTGTGGAGACGTACGTCCAGTCGGGATGGGGGCCTGCTCCTGGTGATACTACGGAGGATAATGGGTCGTTCGTATCCTGGCTCTCAAAGGATTTGTTACACAGATTGGACTGGCTCCAAGTGATTGTGGCTTCTAGAGGCGACGTTCGTCGTCGTTGTGATTATGTGTGGTCTGATCCACTTGCCCGGGGCCGGACGTTCGGGCCGAATAAAAGGGGGTGAATGGGTCGATCCTTCATTTGGGCCATTAACCCAACACAAGTCTCCCACTTCTGATGTTCCGAGCGTGCGTGGGACATAAAGAAGTATATTGCTTCTTAAGGGTGAGACGCTCTTGGCGCGGAGCTTATGTTCGCCACATCCCTGGAGGTGGACGCTCCTCGCCATGGTGTCTCTTAATTGGTGGCGGTTCAGGAATCGAGGTGACGGCTGCCGCAGAAACGATGTGTTTCCCGAGGTAATGTCATCTTTACACTCCTCACTCCACGCGCAGCGCGTGCTCTCGGGTACGCTCCACGTCACGCGTCACCCTCCCATTGGCCCCCGAAACGGTGCTTCCCTTATAAATACCGGGATTTCCCAGGGGCTTAGGGTTCCCGATTTCTGCTTTCTCGCTCTAGAGTCTCCGCTGCTCTGCAATCAGTTCGTCGACAAGGTTCTTTGCTCGCTTCCGTCATCCCCAAGGTAATTTTGGTTTTATTCTTCTTTCCTTGTAATCCCTTTTTTGGCCCTTCAAATGACTTCAATGGAGATCTCGTCGAGCTCTGGTTCGTGCTCTTCCTTTGGTTCACGTCTGACTCTGAGTCCAGCTCTCGCTCCTCTAAGGGTACCAGTACCTTTGGCTGCTCCGGCTCCCCGTCCGTTGTGGGGACGATCGTACGGAAGGATGCCCCTGGAACTTCCACCTCTGCGAGTACCTCTTCAACTGACGCAACCCAGGATGACGCTAACCCTGGGGGAGATGGGGGCAACGCCCCCCAGGAGGGCGTAGTCCAAATGGTTACAGAGAATGTGGCTGTCGACAATGAGCGCCCAGAAGATTATGATTCGGGCATTGAGGCCGTTGACGGGTCCGACGTTGAGGTTTTCGATTTGGGGCTCACAGTTGACGTGGAGCGCCACCTCTGCCCTATAAAGAATGCAATTGGGCATGAACAGTTCTTCTCGGATTCAGCCCTCGAAGAACTTGGCATTTATTTCCCTGATCCGCTTTCCTACAGTCTCCGAGGCGCAACCCACGTGATGAGGAGACGCCCGGGGATGGTTATGGTGCATTTTGACTCTATCAGGGTCGGGCTGCGATTCCCACTTCACCCTTTTTACATCGGGTTTTTTAGCTGTTTCCAAGTGGCCCCGCACAGTTTATGCCAAATTCTTATCGGTTTATTTCGTCATTCCTCGTTCGTTGCAAGACAGCCGAGGTGACCGTGTCTCTGGAGTTGTTCCATTATTTCTTCCAGCTCACCCCCCAAAACTCTGATGGTTATTTGAGCGTAGCCGCCCGTCCTAAGCGGAGACTCTTCGAGGGGGCGCCGAGGTCCATCCACAAATGGAGGAATATCTGGCCAAGTGGGGCATCAGGCTTTGGGTCCAACACATAATGGAGTACCATTTTTATCCCAAAATTACGATTTATTTCCTAAAGTGAATAAAAAATGAGTCATTTATGATTTTGCTTATTTCTCTTCTATATACTCTGTAATATATTTAATTTATTCCACACTTGATGCAAATTTTACAATGTTCACTGGTTCAGAGGTTGTATGAACGTATATTCCATTTTCTCTTAGGAAAAATAACAAGAATAATCTAAT